TCAAAAAATAAACAAGTGGGCGCCTGGGTGGCTCAGACAGCTAAGTGTTTGTGTTCCCCTCAGGTCATGATCCCAGGGTCTGGGGTGGAGCCCCAGGTCCAGCTCTCTGCTCAGCGGGGAGCCCGCTTCTCCCCCTCCCTCTGCTCGCTTCTCTGCTTGTTCTCTCTCTCTGTCAAATACATAAATAAAATCTTAAAAAATATGAAATAAATAAAAAATAAAGTAAATGTAGAAGGGAAAACATCTACTTATGTGTGTGCATACATTCACATACATATGTTAAATGAGATTAATAATTGTATATAAGTGTATATATATATATGTATGTATGTATGTATATATATATATATGGACAACATATGAACCGGCCTATGCACCTGCAATTTATGGACACTGTATATACATATATTTTCAATCTTCAAAGCATCTTTTGAGATAAATATCTTTGTCATTTTAGAGACATGCAATCTAAATACTTAGAATGTTTAAGTGTTTTCCAAAGTTCACACAGTTCTAAGGACCACAGCAAGGACAGCCATAATTTGTTTTGTTGACCATTATTTATAATAATATTATTACCTTTCTTTTCAATACAACTGAAATTTAGGAAATGAAAGTGGAATGTGATATGTGTCAAAGGTTTGCTTGAATTTAAAAAGGAACAGTGTTAAATTAATGTCACACTAATGATGTACTAGCATTGCTGACAAGAGATGTGGCTACTCAATAATTCAGGCAAAATATCTATTTTAAATACAGGGGAAGTGAATTCTCAAATTAAAAATAAAAAAATGCTCAGTTTCAACACCACCAACACCATTTATCAAATCATGTCAGTGCCCAGAATCTCATGACTTGAGAAAATATGAGAAAACATTTCTTAGTGCTAAATTGAGATTTCACGCAAGCCACACACACTGAAAGTACTTACATCTCAAGATAGAGTTCATATTTCCACATCTTGCTGGTCTTGTTTAATTAATTTAAAAAAGCTCTCCCTCAAACCAATAAATAAGTTGCCAAAATAAATATTAAAATATAATTTGTAAATTTGAATACATTGTTTTTTTAAATACATTGATTTTTTCATTTCCTAAATTATGCAAATATCCCCCAAAGTGGTCAGTTTGCACGTCAATGCATTTTTCAAATTGAAAAAAAAATTAGCTGACCCAGTGCAGCAGCCCAAAACACTTGATGGCACCTGCCAAGATTGAGGAAGAAGCAAGTGATTCACCTTGGGAGGTATCCTAACATTTGACTTCTTTCATTAGTTATTGAATACTTAAAACTTCCATATGGTGCAGGTCCCTAAAAGAATTTGTTTATAGGGATTTAGAAGGTAAAATTTAGACAGTCATATGATTGTATCATCATGAGGAAAATTCCAATTTAATACTGAGAAGTGTGTGATTTTTTGTATGATGGATTTATAATTTTCTACATAATTGATAGGAATTTGCAGGTATTACTGTGTTTTATTCAGTGTGGATAGTTCCTCCCAGAAGACAGGTTTGATTGAAAGATGGTAGTGAAAAAAAACAAAACCTCCTCTATATCCAGAGAAATTCAGGAGATGGGAGTGTGAGAATTCTCTGGTAATCTGATCTGTCATTAAACCTCAGTTACCTCCATACACTCACTCATACTGTCTTTTCTCTCTGGCCATGCCAGGCACCTTCTGTCTCCAGATTACAATGTCTGGGCTCCCAAAAGGCATTCTCTGCCATAACAAAAGCACCCAAGTGTCTCAGCCCACTGTGCAGGTCACATTCTCAAGCATGCTTTCCCCTGCAAGAACTTCCTCTCAGGAACTACTCCCATATGTCTAGTATAAAGCACCAATGATAAGTCTTTTATTACTTTACTTAATTATTCTCATTTAGTCTGATTGAGAACTTAAAATTTTACTTGTTTTTCCAAATTAAAATAATATCAGAATACATCCTGTCTTCAAGAAATCTTTAAATTATTAATGTTGCAAGTAATCTTCTTGACTCTGTTCCAGGTTAATACACTATTGGCTATACATATTTACTCTACAGGTAAACAAATACTGATGAGAGATAAATGAATAAATATTTATAAGTCTTTTTTTTATTGAAATGAAATGGAGAATTATACTGATCACCAGGAAAATAATAGGACCTAAAACTTGCTTGTCTTCTATGAGATATTTAGGCAGGGAATTAGAGGGGGAGACGAACCATGAGAGACTATGGACTCTGAGAAACAAACTGAGGGTTCTAGAGGGGAGGGGTTGGGGGGATGAGTTAGCCTGGTGATGGGTATTGAAGAGGGCACGTTCTGCGTGGAGCACTGGGTGTTATGCACAATGAATCATGGAACACTACATCAAAAACTAATGATGTAATGTATGGTGATTAACATAACATAAAAAATTAAAAATTAAAAAAGATACACATTTACACTATTTAAGAAAAATAGGATACAATTTTAGTTAAGTGCTAGAATAATATTTTTTTAAAAATCTACTTTGAATCCATCCTAGGAAATCTATACCTGTAGACTTATTTAAGGAATAAAGTTTGGCAACCATTGAAACCAATAAATCAGAGCAGAAACTTTAAATTCAAATATCAAACATACCTTTATTACTTTTGCAACTTTTGGTGGTTATGAGTTTTCATAGGGCTAGTGAACATCTATTTTAATAACACTGAGTAATCATAATGGGAATTTTGTTTCCATGTGGTCCATTTTAACAGAAACCAACTTACTGCACTAAGATCTATTATAGCATGATTTTTTTTTTTTGGAGTGTAATATTAAAGAGGGACTTAATTTGTATTGCTGAATGTCATTTGTAGCATTGCTTTCATAATTTATTTGGCATACATTTATATTCTGGCAACTCTTATTTTTTATGGATAGTTGAGATGTACACAGCATCCCTCCCCCTTTCTAATAACCTTGCTACCTTTCATGAACCTGTATCTTACAAGAAATATGCTTTGCCTTTTTCCACAGGTGAAGCTTCTAACCTAACTTAACCAATCAACCCAGTATACCCCTCTTATCAAATGAGTTCACTAAAGGTAACTCTCAGTATTCCGAATTCTAGAAATCTGGTTTTCTCTCTTCTTCTCTACCATGTAATGTGTAGGTATGAAGTCTAGGACAGCTATAATCATTTGCTACCAGGCAGAAAGTGAATCTGAGAGGGACAAAGCCAAGAAAATCGCAGGGAAATCCATCTAGGCCCTAATCCTATTTCATGTTAAACCCAGTTTAACTCTTGGCATTGTCACATGAGAGAGGGATTTTCTTGTAATCACTCACCAGTTTGAGTGGGGCCTGCACTTACTTTCAGATGAAGTGTATAATGGATAAGAAATTTGTTACCAAGAGTGGGGTTACAAGTAACAGGCCAGAATTCTTTAAAAGTGAGGAAAGTGAGAAAGACCACTCTCTCACATGAGAAGTTGAAAATCTTTCTTTTACAATTTGCAGAATGGTTGGTTAAAGTGGAGTTACTGTAATTTGGGCCTCAGGGCATGTGCTACCAAGACAGCCTTAGGCAACTGAAGGGGGAAAAAAGGATAATGGATTCTATAGTCTAAAAAGAACAATCTTGCTTTGTCGTCTACTTCTCAAACCAAATAGAAAAGAAACCTTGGCCAAGTGACTCTTCTGTCTTTAGTCTGCAATACAAGTATACTAAATTTAATTTTCAAGGACCCCCATGACTGGAAAAGCTGAATTACCCACAACAAACCAAATAGAAGGCTATCGAAAGCAGAGATGAGAGACACGGTGGGAGAAAACGGAGGAATGGGAAATCTATGGCCTTATTCTAGCATATTTTTCAAGCACTGCCTCCTGAAAAAAGTATAAACACTCGCATTATGGAAATGAAATCAAAATGAAGGTTGAGAAAAAGAGATAAATAAAATACTCACCCACTACAGTCCATTCTTTCTATTGGCTTCAATAAAGATATTACCTATATACCTATATATCCACATACACTTTAGTATACACAAATATCCAAAACAGGACTCATACAGATGAATGTTTCCCAATTAAAGTTGGAGGCAGCACTATATTTATAACAGTATTTTTGACAGGCCTTTCATAAGACTATCCATCTGATTTTCAAATTACTTAAGGTTAGTGTGTTAAGTCTTTTCTGTGTGTAATTAGCTGACATTCTTTTTATAGATAGAAATCAAGTAAGCATTGTTTTTCAAAATGATTTGCAGGTTAAACAACATTTTTCCAAGATGGTGTGGATACCAAACTTATAACAAGCCTCATTAAAATAATTTTTAATAAACATAGCAAAAAAGACTAAGTCTGATTTCCTTTTACAGTAAATATTTAATTTTTTTATTTCTAGTTTACAAGTGTTTAAAATGGACAAGATGATTTTTACCTCTTCAGTAACACTTTTATATTAATTCATGGTATTTTGATTCAATATATGGTAATAAATCTCCACACATTACCCATTAGTATTTTTTTAATGGGGATGTAATATTAACAACCACTACCTATAAAACACATCATGATTTTGGTGCTTTTACAAATCTTTTCTCCAGTTGTAAGTTCTAAAAAAAAAAAAATTAAATTCTAAGAATTAGAGCACACTGAAAACGTAATGAAGTTGAATTCCACCTTTATAATATTTCCATGTTGTCCTAAAAGAGAACATTAAAAAATGTGACGTTGCTATACCAGACCACCTTGCTAATGTTATAAAAGATTGGCAGGAGCAAGAAATTGTGTCACTGATAATGCGGATTTTTTTTTAGTTATTATCTACAAATCATTAGGAAATCATTGTTCAAAAGTAACAAAACAAAATGTGGTGATCCCTGAACCATTTGATGATTCTTAGTCTGTATCATTTTGTTTCCGTTCATAATCATCCTCCCCTCAAATGCCTTTAAAAAAATACATTACACAGTACAATAATAGAAATCAAAGACAGCACAAACTATCTTCAAGAACAGAAAAATCTGCAGCACACAAAGATATCTTATAGTAAAGAGCAGACTTCTTTGGGGACAGTCATCAACTAGCTTGTAATTCATTATGAAGATTTCTCTTTCCTTTTATGGGGAGAGTCTACTCTATTTGAAGTTGCCACACCATTTTCTGTTCCTTTTCTAGAAGACCTCCCTTTAGTCCGTTTCTTCTTCACACTTGGGGCCTGAAGAGCAGTGTCTTCTTCCATCCACCTTTGAAGCTGGACATTAAATAAATTCCATGTTATGTATGCTTGGATGGTGCAACTGGATGACAAAACAGCAATTTTAGCTGCCAACACGTTTACGTTTCCAGTAATGGCATCCGGATTCTGATTCTGCCCTCCGGCCAGGTGAAAGCCCACAGTCACTACTGAAACAATTAAAGTCACAAGTCGACCCAAAATAAACACAATTGCCCACAGAGAAAACTCTTTCTGGTACTTTTCATCACTAAAATAAAACAGGTCACAAATGTGGGAAAGTAATTCAACAAAGTAGTGCATCATCAAAAGAACAAGTCCCAGATGATTCAAGTACAAGAGGTAAGCTCCAGCAATGTGAAAGAGGTGAAGACCGATGTAGACAAGTTGACGAGGGATATCTTGCTTTTTGGTTCTCTGGAAATAGAGTTCGGGAAAGGCATGAAACCAGTAAGCCAATTGTGATATGTAGAAAAACTTCATTTGAAATGTCATCATATTATGGGGATGAGCCCTCCATAAGAGAGTTGGGTCTGACAGACAGTTTTCAGAAATTAGAATGAATGTGCCCCAAATACAAGAAACAAGGTAGAATACACTAAACTGGCCAGATTCATTAAATTTGCTTTGTTTCGCTTTGGGGAACTGCATTCGCCTGTTAATTTTATCCAACACATACTCCTGAATTGTGGCGTGAATGATGATTGCCACTAGCATGTAGAAGAAAACCGTGGCCAAATCTTTGATGCCATAATAGTAAAGGAACTTTGATTCTGTGGCTCGTTCTTCTGCTGCAGGAAAGGTAACACTGTGCTGAAGAGTAATAAAAACGATAGACGCTTCAGCTGTTCCCTCGAACATAAGCCCCAGCACGAAGAACATCCCCACACAGGCGACGAGGTCCGCATGATTCTGCAGGATGAATTCGTGACTCAGGACTGGGGGGTTCTTGGTGCTCTTCTTACGAAACGCCATGGTAGCGCTTCCCAGATACTCACCGACGACCCGCAGCTGCCTCCCCCTGGCTGCTCCTCACAGCGCCGCCGCCGCCGCCGCAGCTCCGGGGGCTTCACTTCCCATCCCGGAGCCAGTCCCGGGTCGCCGCGGCCGCCCAGAAAAAAATAAATCAAAGGCAAGGGCCGAGCAGGACTGAGCATGCGCACCAGGGGGACGGCGGAGGCAGGGAAGGAAATCGAGTGCCGCGCCCCTGCCCGGCGCCAGGCTCGGGGTTGCGAGCGTTGATCTTCCACGTTGATCGTCGCCTCTTGAAATCCACTGGCACCGTCAAGACGCTCCTGAATTATTTTTCAGTGGCATCTTCGTCAGTAATCATGACAAAGCAGGATAGAACTCTGGTTATTCTTCATCAGCATGATTATGAAAACAGCATCAAATAATAATGATGATAGAAGCAAACTCTCATAGCGCTTAGCATTTACAGGTGCTGTTCGGAACACTTTGCTTCTATTTATAAATGTGTCCTTTCTGGAAAACCCAATGAGGTAAATACGGAGTGATAATTTTTTATTTTTTTATTTTTTATTTCTTTGTTTTTTTTTTACAGATGAGAAACTAAGGTACAGAGAGGTTAAGTAATATGCCCAAGATCACACAGCTGGTAAATGTCAGAACCAAGATTTGAATCGTCTGGATCCAGAGCATGTGCTCTTCACTGTTGTACTGTATTGCCTCATTGTAAATCCTTAACACGTGGAAATATTTCATTACAGCAACAACAAGACATTATTAAAAAAATAGTTGCCGTGTTAGCAATAATAATAATTGTGGCATTAATTGTACTTACATTTTTAAAGGTTGAGTGGTGGTTAGACGGGGACAACTATTTGTCAGTTCATAGGAAGATATTTTGGTTATAAAGCCCAAAACTGATTTTCCTTACTCTAGCAGATAATATCCTCGTGTTTCATTTTTATGATTGTTCCCTATAAATTTGCTAAAATACGCATAGAAAAACAGCTTCTTTTGTAAATGCTAATGCCTTGCTCTATTCGAATTTCATGTCAGTCTTCAAATTTCTCTTTGGATCTGGAGCAGTTTTCTTGTTTCTTCTGGGTCCCGTGTGATCATAATCATTACTGATAGTTAAAGTTTGAAGTTTGGAATATACATTTCAAAAGAAAAGTGCTACATGATTTAAAGAATAAAGCGCAATTAAATTTAGAATGGCCAATTGCCTTTTATCACTTTCTCTGCGTGCTGTGCACTAAAAGATGCAGTCCAACTGGTGTAATTACTTCTAAGACATTGAACAAAATACTCCGGTCAATGTGTGCCTACATTTCCTAGGACAGCCAAATAATTGCTGATGGAATTTGTTGTGGACAATGTTCCTGAGTTAGGGAAAGTACTACATATTTTACCATAGTAAGACTTCTCTATTTGGTTCTCCTAGCTGTTACTCAGCTGTTGGCTCTGACAGCTTAATTAGAGTGCTATTTGGTGTTAACTAAATCAGTGAAGAAGTTACAAATAGGGGTGCAAAAATTAGGGCATCAAGAAATGAAAAAAAAAATCAAACTTGTTAAAAGTAGTTAGGAGGGGAACAAAGAGAAAAGCAGTGCCTTGTGGGAATTATCAAGAGTTTATTCAGGAAAATACATATCTACTATTAATATATAATACATATCTATTAGTTTTGAAACTAATCATTTTAAATAGAGAATTCATCAGTCTTTCTATAGGAATACACAATGGCTGTGATCCTTTTGTGGCATACTAACTAAATATAAAAAACACTTGTGCAATTTCTGAGCTGAACTTCTGTTTATATCTCTTTGGCATTATTTTTGACAGGCTTTCCAACTTATGCAAATGTGATAGATGTTGCCCTCAGAAAAACTCCGTATCAAAGTGAAGAGCACAAATGCTTATGCACAGATATGAAATGTTATTTTATTACTAAAAGGGAGAAAGACCATTATGAGTTAGTCTAAAATTGTCCCTTAACTTTAAAAAATCTTCCCACTCTGCTCTTTCCTTGGTTTTTAAGTAGAGAAACTTTTTTAGCCATATATCTTTCCTTTCTTTGAGTTTGTAACACCAAATGATATTCTGTAGTTTAAATTGTCAATTTAAGCTTTACATTAAATATAGTCCAAGGGCAGGGCTTGAGTTTTAGATTTCACATTAATATCTTTATAAAACTATAAAAATGTCAGACTTCTGAAATTATTGGAATCTGTAAGGGTATTGTAGTAATATATAACATGTTGTTTGTTTCTGGTAGTTTTATTGGCACTTTTATTTGACAAAGAATAAAGTGTATATAACAAAATTTTCAAAAATGTTGGTATCAGTCTATTGGTTATATAATTTCATGTATTTGGAGAGTGGGTATTCCCCCTTTATGCAGAACCCTGTGCACATGGTAGATAATTGTTAAATTCAAATGGAGACTTCTGCTTTCAGTCATGAGGGAATAACTGATTGAACTTACACTCCTACTGTAAATAATTGGCAAACTGGACAAATTATATGAAATAACTTGTTTTCATATATTGGAAAACATAAGACCATAATCACTGACAGAAAACAGACAAGTGAGGTGAGCCCCATAATTGCCCTGATTATCTGCCTGGAAGCATTTTCCAGTCCACTGTGCAGGTGTCACCAGCTAGACCCCAAGGCCTTACTTTCACTGTCCACCTGCTTGTACTCACCAACCTATGTCCCACATTTTTCCTTAAGCTCTTCTTTCTACCCTATCTCTTAACTCAGGCAAATGGAAACTGAAACCATCCCTTGAGTGATAGCGAGTGCCCTGACAGGACCTCCAGTCAGCCCAGACCACAGAGACCAGTTTGAGTGTCATCCCCAACTTGTGCCTATGCACATGGAGTGATCTCCAGAATGATCAACACCTACCTTTACCTCATTATAATACTAAAATATCCACCCATGGAGGAGTACAAGCCTCATTTACATAACATACAATGTATGTATAGGCATGTTTCCTTAAGGTGCATGTGTGACCTTAGGTCCACCTTGACATCTGAAGACAAGGCTTCCCTATCTAAATATTATTCATCCTAATCCTAAATAAAAGGAACCCATCCACCTTCGCTCAGGGAGTCAGAGCTTTGGAAGCCATTCCCTTGATCTCCTTATTCGTTGCAAATAAAAGTTTTCTTTGTGAGTCAACTCAGCCTGGTGCAGTTTCTGACTCACCAAGGAGCACACACATTGGTTCGGTTACACAGGGAGGGGAAACCTAAGAAGAGCCTGGAAACCTTGCTGAATTGAGGAGAGACAGGAGTTAGGAGATGCTGAAGCCACTGTTATTTGCTAGGCATAATAACTGCAGAGAAAGTTAGGTGATTAACATGCTTCAGAAATTTGCAGAAGTGTTCTCTAGACACTGGTTAAAATACATGAGACCAACCAAAGAACGATGGAGGAAATGTAAAAGTTTCCAAAAATCCCGATAGGACTAGGAGACTTTCAAATTTGGAACAGTTAGAAATTAGAATTCCCTGGGAATACTCGTGAAACTCTACTTTTAGTAGAGAATCAAGAAAAGTAAGTCTACGCTTGCCGTAGGGAAAAAGCTAATTCACATTTGTCCACATAAAGTTTTCAAGAAACTTTAAAGGATCAACGTGCCCTGCAAGGAACTTTACTGTCTGCCAGAAAAATCCAGCCCTCAACAATGTGAAATTCACATTGTCCAGCGTCTAATAAAAATTATGAGGCAAAGGCTGGGTTCAGCTGAAACTATCAGAATGCCTATATGTGGCCTCTCCACATGGTATTGTCATAGAGCAGTGACTTTAGGCCCTAAGAATGAGTTTTCTTGTGAAACACACAGAAATTTTATGGCCCTTTGTGACCTAGCATTGGAAGTTATGTCCTATCACTTTTCTTGTCAAAGTGGGCACAAGACTTTCAGGCTCAAGATGGGGCAGGTATAAGGGGAAGGTGGGGAGCATAGACATCCCCTCCATAAGAAGTTACCATAGTATTTGTAGGTAATTTTTAGGTAGCCACATTCTTTCCTTTGATGAGAAAAGTTTCCTTTCACATGAAATATACACCATTTCTTCCAGATACAAACAAAAGTCTCACCCGGATAGAGCGACAGTCTCAAGTTTTATTAGGTAGGAACTTGAAAGCTAAATTAGATCCAGGCACTGAAGGGCTCCCTGGGCTCTTCTCTTTGTTGCATTTATTCCTGACCTGAAGACATGTGAACTAAAGAAGTTTCTGATTCCCATACATCAGGCGTAGGAAAAATGCAATAATCACTTCCATTCAAGAAGTGGGCAAGTGGGATGCACACCGCATTCAATGTTCAAGAGTAGTTATGAGATCTATCCCTAAATTCCCTAAATCTTTGACATGAACCCAGTCTTCCTCCCTGGGAAGTGGTGGAAGATTATATATATTTCCATATATATGCCTGCCCTTCAAAAACATAGATATCAAGTTGATATTTTTGTTAGTTTGCATATTTTAAAAGATAAAAGACCCTAGAAGCTAAGTAATGTTAATTTCTTCATGTTAATTTTTGTCTTTGTGATGTAATTGTCGATTATACTATTAATTACAGAGTATCAACTATACTATGGTACTTCAAAGAATGATCATCCCATCAACAACTCTTCAGTAGAACCATGAGAGGAATGGAAGGATCAGTGTATGAGTAACCATTAGAGAGAATTGCCACTATATTTGGGCAAAGTATCTTTTAAAATGTTATATTGATTTGGTAATGAGAAACATTTGATTAAAAAGTAGAAAGCCCCACTATAACTTGGGTACTATATCTTAAATCAATACAAATAATTAGTTCTTTTTATTAGGTATGCAATATAACATTTTGATGTCAGTATTTTATAACTTATCACTTACATAAATAGCTTAGCTAAAAGCATCTTTTCAATTACTTATGTCTTTTTGAAATGTAATTTTCCAAAAGAGGTTAACTGATATTGATTGTGAGCTTTGATAACATA